ATTTTTTTTACAAGTCTTTGCGGATTATGACTTTTAGAGGAACAATTTATTTTTTCGAAATTATGGTCACATCAACATAAAACAACATTAAATAACATGAATGAAAATATATTTACTGCGGTAACTTCAAATCGTTTAGGTGATAAATGATTTATGTCACTATCACTTAAAACGCCCAAATGCACCTAGCCGCCAAACCTTCTTTTATTTATTAAAGTTTAATTAATCTGATCCCATAGTGCACAGACCTTCTTTCCGTTTTCGGTTACGTAATAATTTAAATTTATGTTTGAATACTTTATATATGCTTTTGTATCGTAATCATTATTACATGAGAATTTAATTATGACGAAAACTAAACGTAGAGGATCATCATAATTTTATAATATAATCCTCACCCAAATTTTCTTATTTACAAAAGATGGATAAACGAAACATGGATTCTGATTCTGAAAAGTATACAGAATTTTCAAAAACTCAAGAAAAAGAATCAAATGATGAATCCATTGAGGAAGGAACTCCTTTGTCACAAAGGAATAGTGAAGAACATAATGTAATTAAGAATCAAAGATCAACAAATCATTCATTTTATTTATTTTTTATATTATATAATAAATAATTTGTAATTAGAGCGACCATGAACATATAAGAATAACGGATGATATACCACCAGAAATACAAGAACTCTTGAATACAGATCCGAAAACTGGTTTATCAACGGAAGTGGCGCAGTCTCGTTTAGAAAAATTTGGCAAGAACGAAATTGGAGAATCTAAAACGTAAGCACATTGATTACACCTTTAAACGTTTAAAATTTGATCTTGTAATCGCGAATTTTGATGTCAATCTAATCTCTCTTCAACCATATGAAAGAAATCCCTTTTTAAAATTTTTGTCGTACTTTAAAGGATCTATAGCGTATCTAATCGAATTAGCGTGTATTGTGGCAGCAATAGTACAAGATTGGGTTGATTTTGGTATAATACTCGCGTTATTATTTGTCAATGCAAGCATTGGATTTATTGAGGAATCACGTGCTGAATCCGCTTTAGATGCGTTAAAACAAACATTAGCGTTAAAAACGAGAGTTCGACGTGATGGAAAATTTGTTGAATTAAACTCGACAGATTTAGTACCAGGCGATATCATTGCGTTACGTTTAGGTGATATTGTGCCTGCTGATGCTAAATTATTGGGTATCGGTGTTAATGGTTCAAAAACTGAAGAAAAGTTGCTAGTGGACCAATCTGCTTTAACAGGTGAAAGTTTACCTTTACGCTGCCAAAAAGGTGATAGTGTTTATTCGAGGTATTTTAATTAAAGAAGATTTGAAAATTTTCGAGTTGGCATTTTTCGTATGTCTAAATCACATAATAATTAGTTCAACGGTTAAGCAAGGTCAAATGTTGGCGATGGTTTTTAAAAGTATATATATATATAAGTTTTTTGAAATACAATATTACCGTCTTTTAAATATACTTCAGTTAGCATTTAACTTTGACCTTTTTATCATATAGCCGGAGCTGATACCTACATTGGTCGTACTGCTTCATTGATAAACATGACAGTTGATCAAGGTCACTTTCAAAAAGTCATAAATAAGATTGGTAATTTCTTGATATGGATCACCGCTATTCTTGTTACCATAATATTCGTTTATCAAGTGGTAAAATTTCGAAATACTCCAGAAGGAGATGTATTGAAAATATTGCAACACATTTTAGTATTAACTGTCGCCGCAATACCAGCAAGTATTTTCCTGATGATGTCATTCAATCATTTTCTCATAATATTTTTTTTTATATTGATGTTTCCTTCGTTTGTTGAAGGTTGGATTACCGACTGTTCTTTCTGTTACAATGGCTGTCGGTGCAAAACAATTAGCAGTTAAAAAAGTGATTGTAAAACGATTAACTTCTATTGAAGAATTAGCTTCCGTATCTGTACTTTGTTCCGACAAAACCGGAACAATGACATTAAATGAACTCAAATTCGATGAACCTTGGTTAGCTTCGGGGTTTACAAAGTCTGACATACTTTTGTATTCCTACCTTTGCTCTGAACCGGGCGCAAATGATGCGATTGAATTGGCTGTTATATCCGCGGCAAAACAAGGACTTGATATTTTAAAGGATCATGATGATCAAGATGATGATGTTCCTGGCTATAAAATTACATCTTTTATACCTTTCAATCCTTCAAAAAAATCATCACAAGCTACCGTGGTAAATTTGGAAACTAATGAAACCTTTCAAATTGCCAAAGGTGCACCTCAAGTCATTATTAAACTTGCAGGTGGAAATGAAGAAACATCGCAAGCCGTTAACGATTTGGCCAAAAGAGGTTTACGAGCATTGGGCATTGCTAAAACCGATCCTAAAGATAATAATCGTTGGAAATTGATCGGATTCATTAGTTTATTGGATCCTCCAAGACCGGATACCAAGGAAACTATTGAAAAATGTAGAAATCTTGGGGTCAAAATTAAAATGATTACGGGTGATCAAATGATCATTGCTAAAGAAGTCGCCCATAGACTTGGTATGGGAAGAGTCATTTTAGATGCAAATCATCTAGTTGATTCAACAAAATCATTACAGGAGATCACGGAACATTGCGAACGTGCTGATGGTTTCGCTCAAGTCACACCCGAACATAAATTTAAGGTCGTGGAATTCTTACAAAAGAAAGGTTATTTAGTCGCAATGACTGTACGTTTTCAAAAATAATTGCGCATTTACCACGTTTCAGAGCGAGATTTTTTTTCAAATCATAAAATAATCTGAATATTATTATTATATATATATAATTTTTTTGTTCATAAGGGCGATGGGGTTAATGACGCTCCTGCATTAAAGAAAGCCAACGTTGGGATTGCTGTTCAGGGATGTACCGACGCCGCACGTTCAGCTGCTGATATTGTCTTGTTGGCACCAGGATTATCAACCATCGTTGACGGCATTTATACTTCGCGTGCAATATTTCAGCGAATGAGATCCTATGCTTTATATAGGATCACATCTACTATTCATTTTCTACTATTTTTCTTCATCATCATCCTAGCTTTCGATTGGACATTACCAGCTGTATTATTGATCTTGATAGCAATATTGAATGATGCAGCTACTATCGTTATATCAGTTGATAATGCTCAAGTAAGTTTAGGTTAAGTATTGTTCTGATTCAATTTTGTTTAAATTTTTTTTCTTTTAATTTAGATTTCTTTACTTCCTGATAAATGGCGTCTCGGTCAACTAATTTTTTTAAGTTCACTCTTGGGAATTTTCTTGACTGGTTTTAGCTTTGCACATTTCTTCATTTTTAGAGATGTTATCGGAGTTACTCCAGGTATACAAACTTCAACCTTTTTAAAATGGTCACATGTTAATAATATGTCACTAAATGAAATTATTTTTTAGAACAATTACATACTGTAATGTATTTACATATTTCAAGTGCACCACATTTTTTAATATTTGCAACAAGAATACCGGGACATTTCTGGGAAAATATTCCTTCACCATTGTTTGTTACATCAATCATTGGTACACAAATTTTTGCATTATTGATTTCGGTATTTGGATGGTTATCTTCATCCATTAGTTTGTTAATGGCTGTAATAATTCTTTTGGTAAGTTTAATAATAATGTCAAGCTTTTTTTTTTTTTTTTTTACTTTGATTATCGGATACTTAGTTTTGATTTATATCAATTCGAAGATATCTTTGGGAATATTTATCTTTCTCGATTTTATTAAAGTGCTGATATTTAAAAATTGGTCGTTTGAATTAACGGCAAGGTTATGGCCTACTTCAAAACGAAGAACTAAATTAGCTGTAAGAAAAGAACAACATGCAAAGAATAAAAGAGTTAATGAAAACTTTTCTAGATTAAAAAAAGTGTTGATTATGATGAGAGTTATTAAAAATTTTCGGGAAGCAATAGATGAAAAGAAAACGGAGTCCAGGGATGATCAAGAAAATAATGATGGTGATATTAATAGTGTTTAGTAATTTCTTTAAAAGTCAAAAGGGTTCTTTTCTGATATTTAGTGAAATGATTCATACATCCTTGATAAAAACTTTTAATTATTTAAATTTAATAATATTCAAGCAATAAAAAATTGCATAAAACCTCTACCATATGATATCGTGCATATTAAGTAAAAAAAATCACCGCAACGTTGATAAAATACAACGGATGCATGACGTTGTTTGAAAAGTTCAAAAACATTATCGTTCTTAAATTAGGTAAATTTTCCGACTGGTCACGTGATAGACTAGTTTTATGATTGTGTGGATTTAACTCAATGGTTTTAGGTATGATTAAGTTTTATCATGAACAATCGGATTTTTTTCAAAAGCCATTAACTGGATTAAAGTATAATATAAAATCGTAGAAAGGCCACACAAGGGTCAATCGAAGCTAAGCACAATATTGGTAAAGCCTGGTTTTCCCTAACCAAGTGAGTGCATATTGTAATGTGGATAACCTGTAATGAAATTCTTGTGCACTTGTATCAGATAATTATATTTATATAAAATGATCTGGATATCACATTCTTCACATTCTTATGATATCATAATCATGAAGGGAGGGAAAAGGGATTTGATTCTTTATTTCTTTGTTTCTTGTTGCGGGAAATAAATCGACAAGCATAAAATTGCACATTATCATAAGCTTTTCGCACAAGGCGCATTAAATATCACCTCTAAATTAAAAAAAAAATAATTTGTAAATGCACCTCCGCCACAATGAAAAAAAAAAAAAAACTGTGTTCAAATTTAGACTGCGGACCCTAACGGTACTTTTACCATATAAAGTTACAACAAGAAAATCACTCGTGACATCGACTGTAATAGAGCAACGTCACTATTAACTCCCATTAGTAGCCGCCAAAAAAAAAAAAAAAATCATATTCGAATTTTTTTTTTTTTTTAAAAAAAAGAACGTTACCCCACCCACTCTTTATACTTCAGAATTAACGATAAACATTCAACAATGGCCCCTAAATCAGGAGAATTTTCGCTGGCCGACGACAAAGATTCATTAAATAATGATAACTCAGCAAACGAGTCAGAAGAAATTTGGTCTTCCATTCTTCAAGGAGTTGCGTCCTCAAAAATCGTTCCTACAAAGAGTTTGTTGATTCTAGGTTCGTTGGTATATTCAAAGGTTCTAGAGGAAAGGGTTTAAATATGCTAGCTGGTGGTTCTCTTATTGTTGTCAATTGTCGTTAACAAATTTGTCACGTGCTTTATTTCATACTTCAAGGCGACAGAGATTCCGGCAAATCCACCCTCATCAGACACCTTAAAGGTGAAGAAGACGAAGAGGTTTATGAAGGGCTTAA